CCTGACACGCATTAAATGCCTCGGTAAATGAAACTGACGGGACCGCTATCACATACGTCACGATCGAACTCGATGCAGACGTTAGTGTGCGTCTAACCATACCGGTGGAAAATCATATCGTTTCTCGTTACATCCTTTCCGAGAAATGAGGGGACTGTTTGTGTACGGTCAAAATCGATTAAGTCAGTCGTACGGACTGGTCGAGATAATAATGCTGATCAAAGGATATCTGCGTAATGACAGATCGAGGTCCGAAGTAAGGGCGTCAAGCTTCGAGCTCTAAAACCGATCAATGACAAGCCCGGTATCATTATCGAGCTCATATCCAAAACGGACTACGAGGCAAAGCGAAGATTATCGAAGATACATAGACCGACCAACACTCACCCCGAATATCAAGACTCCAAGACAGAATCGAGCTCGAATCGAGGCCGAGGGCTCGATCCAATACCGAGCTCGAGCCGGTATCGAGCTCACAGACAAGAGCCGTTGCAACCGCACTAAGAGAGAGAATCTTGGCGGGAATTGGGAAAAAGATAATTTATCATGGGCTCTCTACTATATATTTTTTATTATAGATAAAGTAGGATCCTTCTACTATAAAGAGGGGAATCCTTGTAAGTATAAGACAGATTCACACATTGTAATAAAGACAACTTTAGAAAAATTAATACCAAGCTCATTCACTTTGCTTTGTTCATCAATACTTCTTTTTCTCTGCCTTATATTTCATTTCATTTGTCAATGCCTTATATTTCATTTCATTTGTCAAGAATATATATATATATATATATATATATTTCTATTTCACTCTACTATTTGTACCAAATTACATCATGTATCATTAGAACCATACACAAATTTAACTCTATCTAATTTTTCGGGTAAACATGTCCCAGTACTAACTACCTGCGGATTCTGATAGACATTTAGACTTGAAGCTTGTACTGAACCTAATTAATCAAATTCAATCAAAGACGAAAAAAGGGATCATTCGTTGCGTTAGTTATAATCAGTACTTGAGTAATAATTCATGTTCACAGAAAGAGTTTTCATGGACCAGAATACTAGTAAGGAGAAATTTTATTTTACTTCTCAAATGCCACATCATACTTACATAAGGCTATTTATTATTTGACAAGTTTACTTGTGGGTCCCATTTGTTTATTTTAAAGATAACGCTAAAAAATGCAGTTTTAAGTTTCATACTTTTCCTATTTGATATCCTTAAACTAAGGACAAAAAGAAGTAATAAAATAATAATAAAAATGGTGATAAATATTTTGTCTTTGAGAGGCTAATTGATATATACAGAAAGTCGTTTTTCCCTGCCGATCGGCACATGATCAATTGAGTTGTTGAAGAAGAAGAGAAACAAGTAAATTTTTTGCCCAAAGAATTAATATGGAGGACTCACATGCAGCTGATGTGCAATCAAGTATTTTTTTTTTGACCTTATAATTCTGCAATCGTCCATCTTTATTAAACTAACGGGAGAGTCGCTTACTTCTCTAAACAATCAGTAATAATTTTTCATACTTCTTGACATATTAATTATCATTTAACACAACAAAATGATTATTTTCCCCGAGCTCTTGTCAATAGAGTTCTCAAATGATTCTTCCAAAATGTTGTAGCATGAAGCTGAAGCTCTTGCATTAGTATCTACCACAACAAAATCATTTAGGGAGGTGTCAACTCCATATTTCCTCCTGCCATCGCTAGGCGATTCACCCTCAAAGTAGAATAGAGCTGGTACAAGCTTGGTAGAACAAATCTCGCTTACTGTCTTTTGTATATGTACTCGGGCCATGAATTTGAACAAGTTTAGAATGATCAGAATATGACGTTTTCTTTTTGTGAGTATACACTGATTATGAGATTATTGTTGTACAAAATTCTGTTTTCATGCCCAATTTTTTTTTTTTTTTTTTTTTTTTTTTTTTTTTTTTTTTTTTTTTTTTTTTTTTTAATCATTTAGCATAATATTAGCTTCCGAAACATAAGTGCCGATCGGAAGGGAATCTGAATACGTTAATTAGCTTCTAAAAGACGAAATATTTTATTACTATTTTATTAATTTTTTTTATCCTTAGTTTAAGGATATCAAATAGGAAAAGTATGGAACATTAAACTGCCTTTTTAGCTTTATTTTTAGAATAAATAGATGGGACCCACAAGTCAGCTTGTCAAATAATAAAGAGCATCACATAAGTATGATATGGTAAGTGAGACATAAAATAAAATTTGAGTCTAGTTTACTTCTTGACAAGTGGACTCATGTTCCTACTTACTTATTTTAAAGCATAAGCTTAAAAAAAGAAAATGTTTAAGTCTACTTTTTTCCCTAATTAGAGGCTTAACTGGTGGCCAATAAAAGAAAAATAAAACAGGAAAAATCTTTTTCATTATATTATTTTCTTATTACTGTATATTATTAGGTATACTCTTTCATAAAAAAACTTTTTATGAAAATTAAAGGTACGAGCAATCTCCATATTTGCAAAATTTAATGCACCATATCTTGAGCTATTCAACCAAAGAAAATTTTAATAAATAGTACTCCACTCCGGTTAATATGATAGGTGAAAGAAAGTAGAAAATTAGAAATGTGAACTAATAATTTTCAATTAAAAAGTACTCATTAGTTTATCACGGTTTGAATAATAAAACTTGTAATTTCGAAGAAATAAAATTTTCAGTAAAAATAATTTCTTATCAAAGCGTTGATCTTGGGAGATTTTTTTTTTCCCCTTTTACTGCCCATCAGCTAAGCCTCTAATTAGGAAAAAGAGTAGACTTAAATATTGTCTTTTTTAGTTTATGCTTTAAAATAAGTAAGTAGGAACATGAGTCCATTTGTCAAGAAATAAATTAGACTCACATAAGTAATGTTGGTTATGTGACTCACATACTAAAATTTCTCTGCAAAGACAGTAAACATGATTTGAAGGTAGTACTTTTAAAGATTGCTAATTGTGAATGTTCCAGTCGAGTTACTAACTCAGTAACTAGTCAACTGCTTCAATTTCTTTTGGATTGAAATGGGCGAACGAAAAATTTGGCTGAAGAACCAATTTATTTATGCATGATTTAGAATTTCAGAGATTCATACCCCATTTTAGCTAAGGCCTAAGGGTTTGCCATTGATTGGTAATTTGGTATGCACGGAATCTCAATTAGCTTACATTTGGTTTAAGCTTTTGTCATGGCATACGTAAAAAATTGGTGCATGAACTTTGGATTTCCACTTGGTCCGAGTTTTGTCCCAACTTGCAAAATGTTTTTTCTTCAATTACGATGATTGGGACATAATTCTTAAGTTCTATTTTTTTTAAATCAAAGGTCCACATTGGTGGATGGTGGGGTTTATGCTAAAAGTTAAACCTATATATTATCAAAAAGAAATAGTACAGGAGGAGTACATAGACCATAGCCTCCACAATAAAATGAAGTGCGATATTAATTACTATTATGTACATCTGAAAGAGGATGAACTGCCTAGATTGGGACATATCCTCCTTGATATCTTGTTTGCCATTAGCTTCACAAAAGGATCTTGTACACACATTTAACATGACTATACAAAAGTCAGCATTATCTCGAGGTAGCATCATTAAGAAGAAAATGATTTTTCCTTGGCTTTATTCTGAAATTTGGGATGCCAAATCGATCAAGCCTTAAAATTTAGTTCATTATGTCTGGTAAACACGAACTTCATCAATTATCAGTTAACTTCTCAAGTTTTCTCCAAAATTAGCTAGTTCATTGTGTCTGGTAAACAGTGAACTGTTGATAGCTTGTTTTTCATTCTCCTGGCATAGTTCATACTAGGGGTGTTTATGGACCGGGCTGGTTCGATTTTTATCCAAAACCAAATCAAATCAAACCAACTATATCGGTTTGGATATATTAGTTCGGTTTTGTCGGATTTTTCGGGTTTTTCAAATTTTTTTGTTACTTAAATATTATTTCAATCTTACTTTATTAAATTTCTGATAAGTAAATTGTTGGTATTATTCCTCTTTAGGCGTTATACTCTATTTTGATACTGCAAATAATAAAGAACACTTTTGATCCACAGTTAATCTGTGGTACCTCTCCACCATTAATTCTTGTAACATTTCTTGTATGTATATGCAGAATGGGAAAATGAAGTTACTACTTCATAAATGGTTCACATTCATTTATATGATGGTTTCTTAATTTTTGTGACTTCGTTTGTGAAAAGATATTAGCTTTTCAGAAGGTTTGAAGTTACTGTCTTTATGATAATTTTGTTATTAAACAAGATTAATGTTACATAACATTAACTCCTATTTGGCTTGTTACGTTTTTCTGATGGAAGAAAACATAGATGATTTGCCTATATAAACATCATCATTTGTGAACTAAATACCCACCAAAACATTTATTCTCTCATCCTCACAAAAGACTATTCTTCTTCCTATTTTTCTGGAAGACTGTTCTTCTTTCTATTTTTTCCTGGAAAATTCTTTCATTTGCAAACTCCAAACTTCTAGTCACGAGTGCACGTGTTTGGGAGTACTGTGGAACCTTGGGGAGCGAGCGATCTTAACGATTTACACCCAGTCAGACCAAAATTGCTTTCAAGGCAGTGACTTGCCACGATACAGTTTTATTCGATAAGTTATTTCTAATCTCTTATTATTCTTGATCAATATTATCAACTATTTTTCTAACAATTTGAAAGCGATCCTGTATATAATATTGACTAATGACTACCACTTTGAACAAAACACTTCCTAATCTTTCAAAGCTTGAGTCTTTAGATGGCAACAATTATAAGCGTTGGTCCCAGAAACTTTTAATTTTCTTTGAACAATTAGAAGTTGATTACGTTTTGTTTAATGAACCTCCTGCTGATGTTGTTTCCAATACTACTGATGTTGCTGATAGTTCTAATACAATTGCTACTGTTGTGCTAAAATGAAATTTGGAAAGGATAATAAACTGTTCGAGGGCATCTACTTAACCATATGGCTAACCCTCTTTTTGATTTGTTTATAAATTATAAATTTGCTAAAGTCATATGGGACAGTTTGGAGAAAAATATAGTGCAGATGATGCGGGAAAAGAAGTATGTAGTTGGAAAGTGGATCAAGTTTCAGATGGTTGATGATAAGCCAATCATGGAGCAGGTTCATGAGTATGAGAACTTGACTGCTGATGTTTTGAACGAAGGCATGGAGATGTGTGAGATTCTTCAAGCTAATGTTCTGCTTGAAAAGTTTTCACCTTCCTGGAGTGATTACATGAATCAACTGAAACACAAGAAAAAAAACTTAACTCTTCAAGAATTGATCAGTCACATGAGGACTGAGGAAGCAAACCGTCTCAAAGATGAGGAGGCAGAACGACTTAAGGATAAGATGAAATCTCTCTCTCTCTTAATTCTTCTAAAGTTATCCTTGTGGAATCTGCTAGTACTTTTGTGAAAGACAGGTTTAAAGGCAAACAGAAGAAAGGCCAGAAGAAAGGATATGTAAAGAAGCAGAATTACTTAAATAAATCAGAGGGCCAAATCCAAAAGTCGAAAGGACCTTGCTATGTCTGTGGAAAAATTGGTCACAAGGCTTTCTAGTGCAACCAAAGACAAGGACAACGCTCGAAGCAGGGAGGGAAATCTCCGGTCCAAGATAACCTTACTGAAAGTGGTGATGTGATTGCTGCTGTGGTCGTTGAGGTAAATATGGTGTCTAACAAGACTGATTGGATACTGGACACAGGCGCTTCAAGACACCTCTGCGCCAATAAGGAATTATTTCATGACTTTGAGGAGTCTACCGATGGAGAGTGTGTCTACATGGATAACTATGGGTAAAGAAAAAGTTCTTCTTAAGTTAACTTTTGGAAAAAACTTTAGCCTTGAACAATGTTCTATACGTTCCCTCTATTCGTAGAAACTTAATTTCTGGTGCACTTCTCAACAAAGCAGGCCTTACACTTATTTTTGAATCTGATAAAATTATTATTTCTCGTGGAGGAGACTTTGTTGGGAAGGGTTACCTCAATGGAGGTTTGTTTGTACTAAACATTGTTCAAGAGATTACTAGTAATGCAAGTACTTCTAATTCTATTTATATCGCTGAGTCTATTGATTTGTGGCATGGTAGTCTAGGTCATATTAATATTGCTTCTATAAAAAGACTTAGAAAAATGGAATTAATTCCTGCGGTTAATGTCGATAATTTTTCTAAGTGTTTTTTTTTTGTATAGAAGCAAAATATACCAAAAAGTTTTTTAAAAATATAACTAGTAGAAAAACAGAATTTCTTGAACAAGTGCATTCAGACTTAGCTAATTTCAAGAACATTATTAGTAAGGATGGAAAGAAATACTACAACACTTTTATAGATGACTTTTCGAGATACACTAAGGTATATCTTCTTAAGTCTTAGGATGAGGCTGAAAGCATATTTTTAAAACACAAAGCAGAAGTAGAAAACTAATTAGATAGAAAAATCAAGAAACTTAGGTCTGATAGGGGTGGTGAATATAGTACTAATACTCTAGAAGCCTTTTTGTGAGAAAAATGGTATTATACATGAGGTTAGTGCCCCTATACTCCCCAACAAAATAGTGTAGCCGAAAAAAAAATCGAACCCTTAAAGAAATGATGAACTCTATGCTTTTGAGTTCAGGTTTATCTGACAAGATGTGGGGGGAAGCTGTCTTATCTGCATGCTATGTTCTTAATAGAGTCCCTCATAAGAAGTTAGATAAAACTCCTTATGAGTTATAGAAAGGATTTGCCCCTAACTTGAAATTTCTAAAAGTGTGGGGGTGTTTGGCTAAGGTTGGTCTACCTGATTTTAAACAAGTAACTGTAGGACCCAAGACTTTTGATGCCGTTTTTATTGGTTATGCTCAAAACAGTGCTGCATATAGATTTCTATCTTTGAATGATCATTCTATTTGTGAATCTAGAGATGCAGAATATTTTGAGCATATTTTTCTATTGAAAGATATTGTTCCTACTGATGTGCCTAATAATACTTCTACATCTATGTCTTAATTCTCATATTGTGCCTTCTTCTAGTATTATTGCTAATGATCATGAAAATGAACTTAGAAGGAGTAAGAGACGTAGAATTGAAGCTAGATTTGGTCCTGACTTTATCACTACTTTCTTGACTTAAAATATTGAGTTTGATCTTTTGAATTAAGAATTAGTGTCTACCAATTTAATAGAAGAAGACCCTAAGACTTATGATGAAGCAATGAGGTCAATAGATGCTAATTTTTAGAAAGAGGCCATTAAAAGTGAATTACACTCTATAGTTTCTAATCACACTTGGGACTTATCTGATTTGCCTAAAGGTTGTAAACCCATAAGTAGCAAGTGGATATTTAAGAAGAAGTTGAGACATGATGGTATAATTAAGAAATATAAGGCTAAACTTGTTATTAGGGGTTTTAAACAAAAGAAAGGAATTGACTATTTTGATTAAATATTAAATAAAATTATTTTATATCTTTGAAGTTTTTATAACTGCGCGAAGCGTGGGCAAGTTGACTAGTATTAAATAATACTAAATTTTCCAGATATGTTAGTATAATTATATTTAACAGTACATCTATCCTTTCATATCTTCCAACAGATAAGTAATAGAAGACACTGAAGAATGACTACATGGATCCTTAGTTAGCCACCCAGAAATAATAATCTTAATGTTACAATATCTAATCATAATGCCATATCTAATCATAATGCCACAACTTTATCCTAAAAAGGACCGTACATGCTTAGAAGTTAGCAATTTGACTCTCCCGGAAAAGGTACATAATAGCCTCCTCCTTATGACTAGTACAACATGAACATTTAGATGGTACTAGCATGGTAATATTTTCATATCATCAGTTGGAAGTCTATTCTAAAGCATCCTAAATATGAAGAAAGAGATTTTGAAAATAACCTTCTTATGCCAAATCATACTAGTAGTAAGGGAACTATCCTTCAGTCTCGTCAAGTGTTGCCAAATACATTTGCATGAGAAAACTCAAGTAGTATCAATTGTCCGATGGCTAATCTTTTCTTCCGTTATGAATATCAATCCTTAGAATATCATTGATATTATTTTCTGGGAGGGTGTCTTCGAGTTTAGTAACATTTCAAACCCCTCCTTCAGTAAAATGGTTCACCAACAGATTTCTTGGAGCTTTATAAAATTGGGTAATCATGACCAAAGCATCCTTTAGCAGTCCAATTGTTCCACTAGAAGGAAATCAAACTTGTACCAATCTTTCATAAGATGTATTTTCAGCTTCAATTTTTATATCCATAAGTCTCTTCTAAGTATGGGATTAACTATAAGACCAGTCTCTAAGTATCAGATGCTTCTTTTACAATACTTAGCTTCTAGGAATTCTCTAAGAAGATTTTTTTTATTCCTAAAATTCCATCAAGCTTTCACAGAAAAGTTAATGCAGAAATCATTGAAGGATCTAAAACTAGCCCCTCCCTCTTGAGTAGGAAAGCATAAATTCTTCCAGAATGTCACGATCCAAAATCCATCTAGTCGTGATGGCACATAACCAAACCCACTAGATAAGTCAAATAACATTCAACACAACTCAAACGAGAATAATAAGAGTCAATGAGTAAAATAACTGAACTTCTATACAAAATCCCAACGATTGGTAGTACAAGTCATGAGCCACTAAGATATAGATTTACAAAGCTGGTATGATAATAAATACAACATATGTTTGGAATGTTCATAAACAGATTACGAATCTAAATCTATCAAGGACAAGTGGCATCTATATCCGGAAGCAGGTACATCTTCAATGCGAGCTCCCACCATACACAATAACATCAACTTCAAGATCTGCACGCAAAGTGCAGAAGTGTAGTACGAGTATAACCGACCCCATATACTCAATAAGTAATAAACTTAACCTCAGGTTGAAAAACGTGACGAGCTTAGAATATGGTTAGAGTCCAACATCAATAGCCTTAAGAAAAATCTTATTCTGGAAATAAAGTACTCGTAATAATATAATAAAGACAATAAAAGTGAATAACTTAAAAGGTATTATGCTCAGCTCGTGCACAGTTACGGAAAAGTAATGTAACGACCCGACCAATCATTTTGAACTCTAGTGCATCGTTCGATGATTTGAGGCCATGAGTAGCTTTCACTTTATATTTTATGACTTGTACGAGTGGTCGGAATTGAATTTCGGTAAGTTCGGAGTTGATTCGGATGGAAAATTCTCATTTCGGAAGCTTAAAGTTGGAAGAGTTGACTATGGTTTGACTTTTGAGTAAACGACCTCGGAAACAGGATTTGAAGGTTCCAATAAGTTTGTATGATAATTTTGAACTTGGGCATATGTTCGGATTGAGTATCGGACTGTCCGGGAGCATTTCGGTGCTTGTTGTAAAAAGTTGGCATTTGAAGGTTTTAGAATTTCATAATTTGGTTTGAAGTGGATTATGATGTTATCGATATTCGTTTGGGGTTCCGAGCCTTGGAATATATTCGTATCGTGATTTATAACTTGTGCGTAAAGTTTGGCGTCATTTCGGGAAGTTTAACTATGATTCAGACGCATTCGGCGAAGTTTAAATGTTTGAAAGATTAAAGAAAGGTTTCGATCATCGATTCATAGTTCTGATGTTGTTTGGCATGATTTGAGGCTTAGACTAAGTTTGAATTTGTTAATATGTTTGGATGGGGTATCGGGGGCCCCCGGGCGCAAATCGGATTGGAATCAGATCGAATTTTGGACTTAAAGGATTTCTGAAGCTTAAGGCTTCTGGTGTAATCGCAACTGCGAAACTTTGGCCGCAGGTGCGGCGTTGTGCTCGCATAAGCGACATTTGGACTAAAGCTGGAATGGCCGCAGATGTGAGGATATTTTCGTATCTGCGAGCCCGCAGATGCGAAGAATGCTCCGCAGAAGCGGAATGTGAACTGGGCAGCTGGGGTTGTAGAAGAAAAAGGTCTCTGCATGTGCGAGTGCGCAAGAGCGAGGGTTAGAACGCAGAAGTGGTCACACATGAGCGTAATTTGGTCCGCAGAAGCGGATTTTCCTGGGCTTGGAGAGAACCGCACCTGCGATAGATTTTCCACAAGTGCGGAGCTGCAGGTGCGGCTGATGGACCGCTGGTGTGAAAGTCGCTGGGCAGAATGCTTGATTTAAGTACGTGGGTTAGGCTCATTTCACCTCATTTCTCTCATTGGAGCCGGCCTTGGGGGCGATTTTGGAGTGCCATTCTATTCATCCTTCCTGAGTTAAGTGATTCCTACCGTTGTGAGTTATATACATGGAATATATGTGGATTTAAACATGAAAAATTGTGGAATTTTTGGAAATTTTTGAAATTTTTGGAATTATATATTTGAGTTCATAGTATTGTAGGTATTATTTATCTTCGAAAAGTTTCAGAATTCGGGCCCGAGGGCCCGAGGGTTGACTTTGTTGACTTTTCGAGCAGTGATGGAAATTGTTATAATTTAATACATTATGATTTGGAGCATATTTTTATTGGTTTTCATGATTGTTTGACTAGTGTCGGATTGATGGGCTTTAGGTTTGAGGTGTTAGAGAGGCGTTGGAGTCGGTTATGGAACTTCAGAGTGAGGTATGTCTCATGTCTAACCCTGTGAGGGGGAATTTACCCCGTATGTGTTGTTCTTGTTGCATGTTACATGTTGTGGGTGTTGCGCACGTATGAGGTGACGAGTGTCCGTGCATATGCTAGAATTTATGATTATGTCACGCCATGCTTTACTTGTACTACTTGAGTTATCCTTGCTTGTTTAATTCCTTTATTTTGCTTTGAAACCTGAGACTAGGCTTGCGTAGAGTGATAGACTCGCTATTGTAGAGATTTGACGAGCTACTTGATTAGCCACGGAATAATTGTGCTCTCCTTTTGAATTTCTCTCGCGTTGTGCGTTTTCATCGAAAAGCTTCTTTAAATTTCATAACTCACACGTATATTCGTGAGTGGGGTCAAGGACCCGTTAAAGTATCATATTCTTATGGGATCGGGCCGTTCGCCTCGACAATATCATATTCTTATAGGATCAGACCGTTCGCCTCGGCAGTATGATAACACTACTCTTATGGGATCTGGCCGTTCGCCTTGGTAGTATATAAACATATCTATGGTTCGTGCCGCTCGACCCTCGGCAGTGTACACATTATTCGGGATCGGGCCGTACGACTTCGGCATAATCGTGCGTTATATCGCTAGCAGTCCAAATATCACGAGATTATACTTCCACTGATGCCTGGCATTTATATGGTATTCCTCATTCCTTTGATGTTGGAACTTGATATTTTCTGAGCTGTTGAGATAGGATACGAGATTGAAAAGTTTATATCGCTAAAAGAATTTTGAAAGAATATGTTGGCTACCGTTTTATCCCATTATTATGTGGTGCTTCATATCTGCTTACGATTGATCATATTGCTTTATTGGACCTCTAGTAAGTGTCGATGTCGACCCCTCGTCACTACTTCTCCGGGGTTAGGCTAGATACTTACTAGGTACACGTTAATTTACGTACTTATGCTGCACTTCTGCACTAAATGTGCAGGATCTGACAGGTTCATTTGATGGTCATCTGGGCGCGTAGGGGCAGCTGCTGAGGACACTTAATGGTCATCTGCATTCCAGGTTACGTATCGCAGCCTACAGAGTCTCCGTCATACTATTTACTTTATTCTGTCTTATTTACATTTCCAGATAGATGTTGTATCATTATTGTACTCCTTAGAAAATACTCATGCACTTGTGGCACCGGGTTTTAGGGATATTCTAGTTGACGCTTACGGATTCATATATTATTATCACCTTTTATTTTTATACAATACTAATTATGTATGTACCTGTGATTTTAAGGGCGTAAATTTCCTTACTTAATAAAATTTATGATTTTGAAAGTAATAAAATAAACAATTAATGTGATAGTTAACTGTTGGTTTGCCTAATGGTGACGTTGGGCGCTATCACGGCCTATAGTGAGTTTTAGGTCGTGTTAGCTTGGTATCAAA